TTATGTGTGTTATGTGTGTTATGTGTGTTATGTGTTTTATGGTTTTTATATTTTTAAAGCTGCACTGGGGTGGCATTAATTTCGTTGTACAAGTTGTACAATGACAATAAAGATTTCTAAATTAAATTCTAAATTCTAAAATGCCCAGATCAGGGTCCTATCTTGGTTGTAGTTGGACAACTGTCATGTTCATTTAAAAGTCAGGCAAAATGCTGTTTTGACAAGCCGATCAGATGTAAACAAGGAAGGTGCTGGAATAATCTCCCCAACAAGCTGTCACCTTGCAAAGAAGCTCTGACCATGTTCCACTGGCTAGAACCTTTTATTGGCAGGACACAGAAAAGGGCACGTTTGTACGAAAAACAGGCGTCTTTCAAATAAGACAGCCCACTGGTTAGGCCATCTGAGCTAACAACGAGAACTACAAACTGCCCAGAAACAAGAGGACAACCAGTGCGGTTGACCCATGATTAGCCGACAAAGCCCATGCTGAAAAGCCATCGGGCCACCTCATTTTGCATTCAAACATTCTTCAAGGGCAGCCCCATGCTGAGCAGATTGCAGTAATCTAAACAGGAAGCAACTAAAGCATGAGGCACTCTAGCGAGGGGCATCTTCTGCAACAGGAGGCACAACTGGTGTCACCACTGAAACTGATCCCTTACAGAGCAGTGCCAGGTCACCTGCTGTTTCAAGGGGAATTGGACCATACCTGGAATAGTTCTACCCACCCACCCCCCATCATCATCCGCCAGGAAGAGGATACTAAGGCAGCAGCTAGCTCAGGTTTGATAACCTTTATCTTCTGCGCCCTCCCTTTCCTCTAAAAGCAAGTAGATATCAAGCAGTTCGAAACTGGAGACTCAGATTTGGTTCTCTTTCCTGAAAATAATCTTGCCTACACCAGCAAGCCAGAGAGGAGAAGGAATCTTCATGTCATGGTGCACCTCATCCTCTGTTAAGAGAGAAGCTATATGCAATGAGGATTGGGTTTGGCCAGGACGTCACTCATACCAATCCTACTCCTGTAACCTTACCATGGCAATCAGGAGACCTATCATGCATCTCACAGACGCCCCACCCAGGCCTCAGAGTTACGATGATAACCTTGACCACCATATTATATTCTCAAACACCTTACCTTGTGCAATTCATCGTACACAAGCTGGTGTGCAAAACGTGGACAGGGCTCCTCTTCTTGAAGGCTTTTGTTTGAGTTCTCTTTGGCTGCTTGATCATTTTTGTAGACACATGACCTGAAATACAGCATATTGGCACTCAGAAGTTAACTGGCAAGTCTTACTTCTCTTCTCTTACCTGCAGTTCTACCACATACATAGCCTTATTGCTAAAGCATTATCTGAATTCATACAAAGCTGACTGAATGGGTTGCGTCTGCACAACACACCAAGCTACCAAAGTTCTAACCGAGGTTAACTGTGAATATACCCACTAGCTCTTTACCTTGCCCTGGTTGGGTTGTGTGACCTCAGCCTTTTTCTTTGCCTCATCAGGATGTCCTATTTAGCAGCAGCTTAAATCATCTCCATCTACCTAGCCAACAAATCAAGGCTGTCTGAATGTATGTAACAGCCTTCAAGATGAAAGAAACTACTGAGGGCTGCCATGAACTCATAAGCTTTTTTTGAGCAGGAGAGAGAAACAAGTGTAACAACCAGGTTTGGAAAAGCCATGATGCAATTCTGATAGTTACAATGGAAATCCATGTTGAGAGGTTATTGTGAAGCAGGACAGCATAAAATGTAGTAAACAAATAAATACATTGATCTCAAAAAGCCCAATAGCTCTGGAATATGCCATGCTTGGTACAAGCTGCAACACAAAATGTTGCAGGATTTGGGTGTTGCAGTTTTTTCCCACAAAAGACAGGCTGCTGTGAACAATCAGGTCGAATATGTTCTTTGATTAAATAGTTAAGAGCTGGAGAATAAAAGCTCTTGATACCAAGGTAGGCCTTCTCCTTCCACAAATATTGTTCATTTATTGCGTTTATGTCCTGCCTCTCTTTGGGGAGATAAAGGTGGCATACACAGGGGTATTTATGGGCATGACCTCATTTTATCCCAACAAAAAAAAAGCCTGTGAGTTAAGTGGGGCTAAGAGAGACTCCCAACCCCCCTCCCCTCCAAATATTCAAAATGGCCATAGGAATAGGCAATCATAGGAGAAGAACTGGATTAGTCAATGGTGCCAAAAAATCAGCAGTCTGGCATCACCTTTTCTGACTAATAAATTTTATTAAAATTAAAATTTATCATCTTTTAATAAATTACCAAATTAAAAATTATCACCTTTTAATGAAATGTGAAGGTCAGAAAAGTGATACCAGACTCCTTTTGATTCATAGCCAAGAAAAGACTTGAAACTACATTCTTCCTAGTCTCAGTTCCATAATTTACCCTTTATACTACACTGGCTCCCTAGCAGTTTTTGTCATGTGTGTGTGTGTACGCACATGCCTGTGTACGCATGTGTGCGCCTGGGTCTGCTCCCATTTTGCTAGATGTTCCTTCTCCCCACTCTCCTCTGTAAAATCTTCCCTTTTTTCACATTGAAGGCTTGCCCATCTACATTAAACATGTTTTAAATCACTTTTCGGTATTCCCACAGCACTTCACAACGTCATATTAAAACTGAACTACAGAAAGCAGAATCATGACCCAAATGGAATTTAAAATCCAGCAATGCCTACAAAAAGCTTCCTCAAGTTAAATCCAAATTGTTGTTGCTGCTGCTGCTGCTGCTGCTGAAGTTGATGATGATGATGATGATGATGATGAAGGAAAAGAATAAGGGAAGGGGAAAAGGGCAGGAGGTGGTGGTGGTGGTGTTGGTCGCACAGTCAGCCAGATGTTTAGACTGGATTTGGCATTTCTGTCCACCTATCGAGTCCTTCCCAAGGACCTGGGGTGGGCAGATGTTGTTTGATGGGGTTAAAGGTATTGTTGCAAGATGGAAGCTGTTCCAAGTACAGTAATTATTACTATTATTATGTTTGGTTGCACAGTCAGCCAGATGTTTAGATTGGATTTGGCATTTTTATCCAACCATTTTTTTTTATTATTATCATCATCATCATCTGCATACCATCAAATCCCATAAGACTCCTGATGGTTAACAATGTTGTACAATAAAACATCCATGCTGGAAGTTCTGGGTGAAGAACTTTCCCTGACCCCAGAAGGACCTCAGTTTTTTAAGACTCTTTGGGGAGTGGCACATTGGGAACACCACTCAAGGGGCCCATTTCTCAAAAAAAACCCCATGCTAGACTTGGAAGAGGACCTCCAACTGAGACTTCAATATGGGAAAAGGGGGCCTCTGTCAAGCCCTACGCAGCAAGATCAAGAAAGCAAGAACTACAAAGATTTCCCACAAGGTCTCTTTAATGCTCATCTGGGGTAAACAGAGAATCTTGGAAACTGAAACAGAGATGAGTTTTTGAGCTGAATGGCCATGGTCTAGTTTTCTTTTGTACTGATGTTTCTGTGGCTTGCATTTTCAGAGGCAAAGTGAGCTGTTTTGTGGTGTGTCTCTCAGTAACTCACAGGCAACTGATATGGGCTCTTTGATTTGTTTACATCACAACAGTCCAAGAAACCTGGTCCTTGATTAGTTCCTCTTCTGACTAGTCAATTTTGAAGAAATTCTAAGAGCACCAGTTCCTAATTGGTCTGTCTTTGAGTCCAGCTGCTGAACATCAGAACAAAAGAAAACTAGATCACGACCATCCAACCCCAAAACTCATCATGGCTTCGCTGATGCCAGCTGTGAAACCTTACACCAATATATAAGAAGAATTTCCTAGCCTCATTTCTAGCAATGTAACTAAGAAAATTAGTAAGTCTCTTTGAAATTTTGAGATACATTTTTCCAGAACTCTCCCTACCTGGGCTGTTGCCATTTATGGGATAAGCTGTCAAAAGACTCACCTGCTGCTCTCTCTCCCATTTCCTTCCCAGAATCTCTCACTGCCATTTAAATACCCCAAACCCAGATCATTTAGGGTTTGACAGAGTTAAGTGTCCACACCTGCAATTTCACTTACAATTTTCCCTGAAAAGAGACCAACAGTAAATGCTGTGGTTTGACTGCCTTGAGCCATTCATCTGCTACTTTGGACCAGCGGAAGATTCCAGCAAGCCTTCAAAGATGGCTCCATATATGGAGAATTGCAGCAATCTCTTCTGTGGGCTGCCTGAGCGCAGAAGATAATGTCTGTGGCACTTCTCTATGGGACTCAGCACAACATTAGTGCTAATGGTAACTTTCATTTCTATGCATACAAGGTGCTCTTGCAGGAAACTAGTATTGCTCCTTTGTTCATTGTTGTAAAGACACTAACACGATCACCAAATACTCCATGTTTCCACAAGATTTCTGCTAACTCAAACCATTTAAACATCACAGCAAAAATGCCACTATTACACATTCACATATTAAAAATGGCTTGCTTATCATATGCAAGTGTTTTCCTTGATGCAGGGAATTGCATTCCAAGTCACATACATTTTATTCATTCATTCTATACCCTTCATACACTACCCATTATTAACAGAAGTCACTGAGATGGCTGGCAATGAAAGAGAACCAATACATTTAAAAATCCAAGTTTTAATACTAGGAAACCTTTTTAAGCACAAATACCAGCTGAGGATAATCCCAAATAAAACTCACAGAAGTGGCAGAGTAAATGCCACAAGGCTTGTATTCTTTTGCTACAGGTTAGCAAAAGAACGTAAGATTACAAATGACCCCACCTGGAAAGTCAAAAAGATGCCTGCTTAGCGCTACAAAGACGAGGCATTCCACAAAAGATACAACACGACTGCGAAGGTCCTCTGTTCAGCAGCTATCCATCACCCCTCTTTTGCAGAAGCATCTAGGGAAGACCTCTAGTATTGACGGAGGTCCAAAGGGGAGAAATTGATCCTTAGCCAAGTTATCCAAAATGATTGCCACCTCTAGGTTCTACTCGCAACAGCCATTGCAGGTACTGAAAGGGGCAATAAAGAGGACTGGGATAAGACAAGCTACTCTGCCTCTTGCACACAGCGGGATCAAATACACTTTGGCTCTAAGGCTCAACCAGCTGAACACAAAGACAGAAAGTGCAAAGAGTATTTGGCTTGGGCCTCAAGGCTTGACTTCACTCAAGAGGTAAGGAATCTGATTCAGCTGAATCCCAGCTTATAAATCGAATCAAGTTGATCTGGAAAGATGCATTAGATAGGTGAATCAGAAAAGGGCTTCTCCAAAACAGATTTAAAAAAAAAACCCAACTTGAAAACCAGCATCCCTCTCAAACTCTCTATTAAGAAAACAACGTGGTCAGAAACCTAATTTTTAATGATACATTTCAGGCCCCCTGCCATTTTCTCAGAAGTAATCCACTCTTCTTTGACCATCTGGTCAATTTAGCTTGAAGGCTGCAACACCACTACAAGATACAAGTTACAGACATATTTGTACCTGTGAACCATAAAAAAAAAACCTGTGTGAATGGAAAATGAAACCAGAACATTATGAATTCTCAATGACCCTGTTTCAAGTGCTCCCTTGCAAAGGGAGAAGAGCCACTTCTGGCTCTGAGTGATTCATTTACTGGCATCTGCAGCTATGAGATCCATGGGAACTCCCACTTCCCTGCGCAAGGTTATGGCTTTCTTCAAGCAAACTGCTAATTCCAAGAATAGTCAGTGTGCCCTCTTCTCTGTTACCAAGATGATCGTTGCAAAAGGCAAGAAGAGACCCCTGAGATGCTCCCTGAGAAAAACGTATCTCCTGCTTACCAGCTGTTTCGGACGATGTCGTAAATCCAGAAGGAATTCCGAACATTCTCTTCCCGTTTCTCCTTGTCTTTACTCAGTCCAGACAACACGTGGATCTCGTTCAGTTCCGGATCAATGGTAGCTCTTTGGGTGAAGCCGGTCATTGGAACTATTGACGAAGGAGAGCAAAGGACTGTTACATTTCTCAATGACAGCTGCTACCAGCATTGAGCTAAGAGGCCCGAAAAAGAAACGAACCGCTAGATGGCGGCTACATCACAGCATCCGAAGGCGATCAGCCAGGCTTGCGTCTTGCGGCTTTGTGGATGTTAACTCTCGCATAGTCATTAAAAGTAAATTGGTGGAAGGGCCGCTATTAATGCTGTTTTTAAACCCTACAATTGGATACTTTCACTCTCAAAATGAAATGAAGTGACAGGTGATAGCCAACTTTTGCACACTGCCTCCTGGGAGGTGGAATCGACACATCTAAAGGGATCCACAGTGATAGAAGTTGACTTTAAGGCAGCACAACAGTGAAAAGGGAACACATTTTACTCAAAAATTAACATCGGATAGCCACAAATATACATATTTTTTGCACAGAGGCCTCTAACACCCAAACAAAGATTTCCAATTTGATCCAGACTCGACCCAACATTTTGTACCTTCTCGACGCAGCCCCATTCAACCTATCCTAGATCTATTATCCCTGGAATGAAGACTGATTGGAAACAAGGCATTTGGAACTGGAGTGATCACCAGCACTGTTCCCTTTTTTAATGGTAGGAAAAAAAGAGGACCAAATGTTCACCTAGATGGGCCATAACTTCCTAATCTCTCTTTCTTTCTCTCTCTCTGGTTAACAATTCCATTCAATGTATTTTCCTGCCACTGCTCCAAGACATTCATTGTAATCCTCAGAACCATTCTGTGAAGTAGGACAGGACAGAACAGGAGGAGGTTCTGATGAACCCACAATCATCAGGGAGCTTCATGGATGAGGCGAAATTCAAGATCTCTCCAACACTGATGAAGATCATGTGCCATCAAGTTGGTCTCACTCTTAGTGACCACACAGACAGATTTTCTCCAGAATGATCTGTTCTCAGCCTGGTTCTTTCTTCCCCCAACAGTAATAGAACACAGTATTACCAACTCCACACTAGTTCTCAAACAAGTAATCCAGAAAGGAAATCTCTAACTGGGTGAAACTAATGCTTCTATAAAACCTAGCTTTTTTTGTCCATAGCTGCACCCTTACTCCGATGAGAAGAGCAGAGCCAAACTGAGCTGGCCAATGCACAGCCCTCCAAACCGTGCTGGATTCCACTGCCTCCAAACAAGATGTGGTCCATCTGCTCATTCCGGAACTCTCACCCTGGGAATTTAAAGCAAAAGTGAGAATTCTTTCATGAGGAACGCTAAGGTGGCCACAAAAGGGATATGCCAAAGCCGCACCGGAGTGTGTTTCCACTTAAGATGATGCCTGGATGCCCTGGAGGATGGTTGAAGACCTCACATTAATTCCCATAAAAGCGTAATCAAATAATTGGCTGTTCTAATGTTTACTGGGTAGGTCCTGCTCCTGTTTCCCAGAGCAACCGGCTTTTCAGCTGGCATGTGTAACCGGCATGTGATCTGGGCGCTGGTTCTGTTTTTCTCTCTCCTTCTGGATCATTTTACAGGCATGGGTGGGGGGGGAGCAATCTGGGCAAAAATGCCTGACATCCGGTCAAGTTGCTCGGGGTCGCGGGTGGTTGCAAATCCCATCGGTACCCACGTGCAAGCTCCCAGCCTAATTTCTCACCCTGGGCATTTCTTCCGAATTCACAGGCCGAGGGAGGGCAGCCTAGCAGCATCTCAATCTCGGCAGTCCCAGTATTTTCCTCCAAGCTTTTCCCAAACTCTAAAGGGGGAGGAGGAGGGAGGCACCTCACAGTGTGACTAAGCACTTCTCAGCAGCATAAACACGAGAGGCAGTGTTAAACAAGAAAAAGCCGTGTGTGACTCAGATGTGCAGATAGAAAAACAAAGCAAAACAAAACCCTTTGCTCGGCACTGGGTTTATATTTGCTATCTCAACACAGTGGTGGAAAAGAGAGTCCCCTTTGGAATTATTTTGAATATGAGAAGCAGAGAGGAAACACTGACGTTTGAGTTCTGAACTGGAAGCACACGGTGCAGTGGGGGGCGATGAAGGCAAAACAGGCATTTTGGGGTGTCCAGGGCTGCCCCTGTGCCAGGATTGCTGCCAAACATCATGGGCACAGGACAGAATCTGCAACTTCCAAAGCGCAGTCACAAAGCTGGGATTTTGGCCACCGAGACACTCCTGCCCCCAAAACAGTTCTCCAAATGGACCAACCCAGCCACTTTCACTGCTCTGTGAAAGGGGGAAAATGGAGGAGATCTGTAGGTGACTACACAGAAGGAAACTTGGAACAGGCTTCCATCCAATCATAGCAACAACTGAACATGGTACAAGATGAGGTAACATCATACAGTGGAATGGCTGAGTTGAAGTCCTGACCTTAATGCTACAGAAATGTTGTAGGAGCACCTGAAGTGGGCAGTTCATGCGAGGGAGCCCACCAACATCCCTGAGCTGGAGCTGTTCTGTAAGGAGGAATGGGCTACAATTCCTCCCAGGACTGATCAATCGTTATTGGAAACACAGAGTTTCAGTTATTGCTGCCGAAGGGGCACCCCAGTTACTGAACGCAAAGCTGGACATACTTTTGCCAGACAGTATAAAGTTGTTGACTCATTTGTTTAACTGGGTTCTCCTTATCTAGTTTGAGGACTTGTGTGGAGAACAGATCGCGTTTTAAGTCATATTGATGCAGAAATACTGGAAATTAGAAAGGGTTCACACACTTTAAGCACCACTGTAGCTGCCTCCTCCTTCCCCCTTAACATGTCTATTTAATAAGAAATTAATTATATTCTACCTAAATGAATTTACAACACATTGCCAAGAATTGATACAGCAGTCTAAGTCTACTTGCACAGAATCCTAAAGTTGGAAGAGGGTTACTGAGAGCACGTCAGCCCCACTACGTAGACCAGGCCAAGAAGTCAACTCGACAGGTGGGCAAACACTACATTTACTGAGATGGGCTATAACAACAGATTCTTGAAAGCCAGACTGTGCTGTTCCTCCTTCTCCTCCTTATAGTTCAGTGAATCAGGGAAGCGTCTGCTTCACTCTGGAGTTAAAAACGCTCCAGCCCCTTTTGCAACAGATCCTGTATATCTCCGTCAAGGTCATCTTCCTTACTCCCTACAGACCATCCAGTCCCACCTCCTGCTCAGAGCAGGAATCCCAAACAACATATCCCAGACGGACGGCTGTCTGGCTTCAGCTTGAATACATCTTTCAAAGCCAAGGTCCTAGAACTATTTCTGTGTGTCATCTTTTAGATATCTTCTCAAGACTTTCCTGTTCCTTCCCCATAAGATTAAGTTTCAAGTCTCCTTATCATCCTTCTTGCAGTATTGTTCCAAAAAAAATTTTAAGTGTAGTGCTGGAACTGGTCACAATACTTGAGATGTGATCCAACCCAAACTGGATAAAGTAGAACTCCTATATATCTTGTGAGCTGGAAACTTTATTTCTGTGGAGTTCTTGATGTTCTCTGAGCTCAGAGGGCACCAAGAACTCCACAGCAGAACCCTGAGCTACATACATTCTCTTTTACTGGAACTATACTTCTGTCGATGCATTTAATTTTTTTTCCTCCTTTTCACTGTATTTAAAATACATGGAAGTCCTGCTGGGCAACTGAGTAGGCTAGTAAAAAAGATATGGCTGAGGAAGAAGTGGTTTGACTCATAAGTCTGCTGCATTTGTTTTAAACATGAGCCTTCTCATTCATAGAGTTCCTCTTTAAAGACAGACAACAGTTTTGCAAAGTAGCTTCAGACTGAAGGCACTTAATCTGGGTAACACTCACACAGGGACTTTTATTCAGCCTTTTACATGCCAATAAATCCCGCAAATAAATCTACAAAAAGATAGGGCTCCAAAGCTTTCTTCTTTAGAATCTCATTGAGCACAGAAAGAGAGGTGGGGTGTGTGTGGAAAGGGCCTTATTCTCCAACAATGAAGAGGATCTAGATCAGTGTTTCTCAACCTTGGCCACTTGAAGCTGGGTGAACCTCAACTCCCAGAATTCCCCAGCCAGCATGCTGGCTGGGGAATTCTGGGAGTTGAAGTCCACACATCTTCAAGTGGGCAAGGTTGAGAAACAGAGTGTCTTTGCACCCAAAAGGCCCCAAGACATCTCCAGGTAAGGGTAGAAATATGCCCCCTGAAACTCTGCAGCTGGCAGCACTGATTATAGCTGCTTGACTGCACTGTAACTCCATACATCCCAGGGGACAACCACAATCTTCTCACAACTGCTCATGTGAATATGCAGCTGTAGACGCTGCCTTACTTAATAGGGGCACAGGGCATGAAGAAACATCTGGAGCAATTTGACAAAACCATTACAAGCTTTGAGGTTAACCCATGAGGCAGGGTGGAAAGGAAGAAGAAGGGGCTGTTCTCTTTCTCATTCCTGGAAAAATCCCAAGAACAGTAATGTAAGAGCGGTCTTACTGAATCATATTCAAAGGATGTACCTAATGGAGCAGTTTTTCCACCAAAGTGGTCAGTTTGATTCTTCTAGGGAATATTTATTTTACTTTAGTTTGCAGTATTTATAACCTACTCCAATCAGAAAATTCTGGATGGCCTACAATGTAGTATACACGAAGAACAAAATACTCAGACTGATCAAACCCACCCAAAACGGAACATCTACAACAAGTCAACAGATCTAAAGACACCGCAGAATAAAGTTTTTAATCCTTGATGGAATGCTAGGAGAGAGGATACTAAACCGATGTACATTTGCAGTGGGGACATCCTCAGCAGGTCCTCTTGAATCGGGTGGACAGATTCAGTTTCAGGAAGACAGTGCCCTGTGGTTTCCCTCCCCCATGATGGGAATGTGCAGACATACAGCCTCTGAAGCAGAAGCTCCATTTAGTTATTATGAGCAATAACCACTGGAGGATCTTTCACCTTCTGTGAATGTGCCCCATTCTTTTTTTAAAAAAGGGGCATCGAGAATCATGTCCACCACCACATTCTGAAGCAGCTGAATCTGGAAGCTC